TTACCACAATTAGTCTATATTAGGCTGAATAGAATTCCTGGCTGTAAAAATGTCTAAAGTCTTCAGCGGATGCTGGTGTCATGAATGAAAATTGTGCATTGACAAATCTTCATCTGTTTTGAAACCTAAAAATACTTCTTATTGTTAGACTTACAAAGATGAGCAGCAGATCATAAGAAGATAAACTCTCCACTTAGTACTTACTTTACTATAATTCAGCCACTAACTAAGTCATAATTCACCTTGATTTATGGAACCGTGAATGAATAAGAAGCAAGTAACTACTGACTCGTCATTGCACCACTGTAAATCAGGAAGAAAGGCAACGGGAAGAAAAAGTTCAATAGAAAAACTGATAGTAAATATGACTGAAGATAAGAATTACAATATGAAAGCTAGATTTAATTCATTGTCGTCACTTTTTGAAACTCTGAGTCCATTCTCATTGGTTCTAAGATATATTCATTTCATCCTTTAATTATCAGCAGGTAATTACACTTATTCACACTTATAAATACTCGGTATACATATTTACTTTTATGCAAATCTAATGAAATTAGTGAATATGAAACAAATCTGCAGGCATGTTGTGAAATCGCTTTCAACATTACCTATTTGAAGCATATAGCATACTTTTCCTTAACGTTTTAAATGTATTCGATTATCTTTAGTAAGCCATGGAAATTTCTACCATATGTGCATCAATACCAGAATAACTCCGGCATCATGTGTAATGATGAGTGTACATGTGCAAATAGGTGTAGTAATTTAAGAATTTCATGTTATTATTTCGTTTAGAATGTAGATGGTGGACGTGGTGGAGGGCAGGCAGATGGGGGAAAGGAAGATACATACAACATGCAAAGAAGAACCATATATACCTCCTAAAATACGTGTTCAGAAGAAATGAAAATGTTTTCTCACACATTTTTCTAGACATAATAATAACACTTAGTGATTTTGATTGTATTAGACATGATAAAAGGTAACGGAAAATCTTTGCTCTTTTCACCAAAACGATTCATGCTTGAAATGTTTGCTTTTATTATGATCAAGGTTATTATTAATTTTGCATTGAGTTTTTTATGAAGAAAAACCATCCAGGAGATTTTTTGTTTGCTTTTTATTAAGGTGAAGTCATATGTACTACTAGACTGTAAAATATGAATGAATGAACAAGTACATATTTAATACTTTAGTTCGAATCACATTCAACAATAGATGGGTTGAATTTAAAAGCTTTATTTGCACACTGAACTGTTATGTACAATGAGATCAACTTATTCTTCAGTAAAAGTAATTCACGTGAGGAAGTTGTTTTATTCACAGGAAGATACCAAATTGCACCATATTTTATGCTGTACAGTTCAGTGAATGCTCCTTTTTGAATTACATTTAACGAATTAATCTTGCATAGAAGAAAAGATTAGAATGTCTGTTGTCACCAGCACCTCAAAATATGAAAAGTTGAGAAATTCGCCATGAATATGGTAACCAAGCCAGGCCACAAAAGTTGGCTGTTATCAGCTGCTCATTTTATTGAAGAATCGTAGTCATTAGCACTTCAGTTGGCTTGACCTCCAAAGAACTGTTTTGTAAATCCTTATTGTGAACATACTGTTACATATGAAACTTCCATTTTATCACAGTGTCTACTCTCTTTTCTTGCATCAAATTTCGACGTAAAATGGTTGCAAAAAGCATAGTTATCAAATCGTATTTGATAAAACAACATCAGAATTCCTTTTATGTCGTTATAATCAAACTTGACATTCAAGTCAAACGATTTTTTGCGCATATGTGCAAAAAGTAAGAAAAAAGGTTCGACAAAAACAAGTTAACAGTCTTATCACGATAAGAAGAAGCCTACTTCTAGATCTTGTCATAGATTTTTAGAATTTTTTAACAATGTTGTTTCCTCGTTGTTCGTCTTTTTCACTTACTGGTAGCTAAATATGGCTATTCCTTATTGTCTGCTTGTAAAAAGGACTGGGGATGACTATAAGTATAAAATTATATTTGATTGAAATTGTGATCTCCTGGTTTGAACTTTATGTTGAATAATTAGCATCACAGTCATACAGTGCTCAACTTTAGTTTTTTCCCGATGGAAGTTGAGCAAAATCAGTACTACTCTCCATTATACAGCATGCAGTTATATCGGGCAGTTACGGAAATAGTTTGTAGTCAGCGGGACATTTTCACTGGTGAAACAAATGAAACCTTTTCTTCTTAAAATAACTTAAGCATTTATTTAAGCTATTCCCAGTTAGCTAACAAGCACAGGTGAATAATACGGATAGACTTTCTCTCCTAGGAAGTATCTTTAATGCTCGGCTGAGGATAATAACGCTTCCGGTTGATGCATAGCTTTCTTTGAAAAGGAAAGTAGAAATATTCCTACTCCCGTTCACAGTAATTTATATGAGGATATTCCCCTAATTATTAAACATTTTTCATAGTAGGGACCATATATCACTGTATAAAATTAACTGATTTAGTTCCTTCCGTTATGAATACGGTGCTTTTAGCCTCCAGGAGATCAGCATGTCATAGTAAAATTTCTATGCTCTAAGCTTACAAACACAAACCCTAGATCTTCTGTGGCAACCGTATTTCCATTTGTGTAACAGACTATTAAACCTGAAATGCTAAGGGCCAGCAATAATAACTGATTACTATTTATGCGTGTATTTTTATGACTTTATTTAATGTGGTTATAGCATAAAACAAACTCATGTGGACGTCATAATGTTGTGCCGTTAGTTGAACAACACATTGGAATGTCAACGACTTGAGTTTGATGTCATCACTACATGGTGATTTTTGTATGCACTATACACATGTCCTGAATTCGGATTTGGACTTGAGTACTCGATGTTGATGATGCACAGCTACAAATCAGCATAAACAAACTACCTTTTATCATTAGGTTTGTGATACTTCTTAAAATATGACAAGCTTATAATGAGGACCTTACGAGTTTTTTAAGTATTGAAATCTTACGATAGCAGAATTTAAATCTCTAGTTTCTCAACATTTCTATCGTTTATGCGACACGCTTTACATAGTTTTTGCACCAAAGTCAGCGATTTAACTTAAGCTAATCAAAAATCAGGACAGAATTTCTCCAACTTCCATGTAGGCTCGTTGATTGTCTAGCTTTTTCAACTAGGAAAGTCGGGTAAAGTTTTTACGAAATTCACCTTTCTGAATTTATTTTTTGCTCCTGTTTGTAGCATGAGGACTTTAATTAATAGTAAAAACGAGCGCTGAATACTGACCTTCCTGCTCATGCAATCGAAAGACTCTCCCTACAACACTCTTCCTTCTGTCACTGTTTCACTATATCTTCGACACACTTCCGGAATAACAATAATCCCTCATTGATACAAATAATTCGGATGATAGAATTTTAATACACTTCTAGCTATTCGCTGTAAGATGACCTGTAATATTCGCTGCAGATGTCTCAAAACACCCTAGTAATCCTTCCAGGTGCACTTGTATTTGTTTTTCGAGTGTTTATGTATGGGATGGTAAATTCAATGAACTGTGACAAATCCTAAGTTATCATTGTTGTTAAAACAATTACTAATTTTAGCTGTCTGTATACATATTTGTTTCAATGACGCATACGCGCATAACCATGCGAGTGTGAATATAGATGCGCTTATCAGTTCATTGTGTACACGTATGTCCATAATTTAATTTTACGAATTATAGGTACTACCAGTTGACTACTACCCAGCTCAGAGAACACAATACAACCAAGACAATCTACCTGAGCTATAAATATTCTCCATCAACTGTATGTTTTATTCCATTAACCATTCTAGCTCTTAGAAAGTAGAAAACGTTTTACATCTCTTGATCCAGTCACTTTTGAGTTTTATTATTTCATCATTTAATGAACTCTGATAGGAAAAGTATTCAAAAGCTTCAAGAGTATTTTACTCTTCCATTTGTCAGCTGCTTATATGGAAAATCTTGGCTCTCGTAACGAATAGAGAAAATAAACAGGAAAGATGAATGTAGTGAAGACAATTGTCTTTATTTTTTTCAGAAACTGAATGAGTTTGTAGTTTGTCTTGTGCATATGACTTGTGCTTTCAACTTACTAGTAATCAAATAGCATTCGATCTATGTTTTTTTATGAGACAATATATAGGCTATTTTTGTTAGTACTGATAAACTTACTGTTCTAAAGCATCATGTAATCTCGAAGTAAATAGGGACTGCTTGAATTTAAAATGTATTCAGGTCCCTTTGTTGAAACTGACTTTGGAGCCTCAATACACATTTAGCGCATACTTTAGAACCTAGATATATAACTCTGACAATCAGTAATTTTCCAAGTTAGACTAAATCTGCTTGGTTAGTAACTGGTTAGTTTGTGGTAATACTCTTCAGGTATCACTTAAATAGTGTGTATTCCCAAGAGTCACAGTCCTCTCTTTACTAATTTCATTTTTTTTTTAAAAACTATAGAAAATGGCCATCTTCGTTCCTGCTTCTTTCAAAACTGTAGCATTTGGTCATTCACCCATTCACTTTAATAGGAGTCCAGTCACCGCCGTCTCTTAACATACTCATTTTAATACGGTCAGTAGTAGCAACAGAGGTTTGCTGAAATATTCTTTTTAAAGGAAATATTTATGCCATCTGATAAGCTTATTCCATGAAGTTGGGAGAAATAAGACACAATTACATGTAGCAACTGCATATGACCTGTTCAGCTAATTATTTCGTCGTCAACCCGTATGCGTTATGCTACTATGAAAATGTGATAACGCAGCTGGTTTTAAGAATATGAGTTTTTTCGAAATCTAATCATCACATGATGGTTACACTCTCTAAATTCCTTGGCTATAAACCATTAGGAAGCTAGTTTTAGTTCAGCGATTTGAGAGGTTTAAGGTAAATTTTATTTGTTTAACCTCTGATACTTTCATGTTACTTATGAAATCTATTTTTTACTTCTTAAATGTGTTATACAGATCATCAAACTTTAATAAGTCCTGTTATTCAATTTGGTCCAGTAGATCTGCATTTGTCGAAACCTGTACTTCTATCGTTCCCTCATTGTGCAGCATTAAATCAAAGTAGTTGGCTTATACGTGTTTTAGCGCTAGGACAGCATTTCAGTCGCTCACCTAATAATTTAAATACATCAGATACAAATGCTTATGCATCCACTTATAATGGATTATCGTCAAATCTTGATAACTTTTCTTGGCAAGTAAGTACAATATAAATATGTTGTTTTTTCTTCAAAATTTTCGACGATTAATGATAATAATTTTATGACGTGCTCCAACTAACATGTAGAAAAGAAAATTTTCTTCGCTGAATTATCATGTAGATCTGTTATCAAGTTCTGTTAAACTTTGTTTTGTTGACATCATTCAGTTATGACGGAAATAAAACCGAAGTCTTAGAAACAATTTGACAGTGTTTGCGAACTCTGAACTTGGCTATTCATAGTCTTTACTATGCATTCAAAGCTTACGCATTCGCAACCAATTCCAAGAACGAATAAATGAAGCAGAATGATACGTGAGGAGAAGCCAATTTATTATCGATTGGAAGCATGAAACGCAATGATTCTCAGACCCACACAACAGCTCTTGATTACTTCAAAAACATAATTCTGTTGCTTTGTTATACACAGAAGTACCTGAGAGATTTCACTTTTATCCCGAATTCTTTTACGTATGTTGATAAGAACTTCGTTAATTGCTCGTTCCATTAAATGAGAACAAACCCTAACTGTAAGTATCTAAAAAGCAGTTGACTAAAGTCTTTGAAATGGAATAAGAAGTTTTCAAGTCTTCTATCCAATAGTTTATTCATTCACTACCTGACATTGGAAACATCCAAAACATTTTATGAAATAATATATACTAAACTTTCTCTGAAACATTTATTATTCCCAAAATTTTTAGTTAGAGTTTAGCTGATGTTGTACTAAAATTAAAATCCTCAGATTGGTTTTCAGAATGTGGTTACATACTAACTATGCGGAAACGAAGAAACATAAGTCAACAATCTTTTTCTCCAACTAACTTGTTAGAGAATTCAGCATGTTTAGGTACCTACTTTATTAATGCCTATCAACAGCATTACTTTTCTTTATTTCATAAAAGTTCTGATACCTGTAGCAAACATATGGAGTGTACTTTTTGCTCGAAAGTGAGGATGCCCGGTATTCTGATAAGTCGTATTTGTGAAACAAAATGACGTCACCTTCACATTTAACTTAATTTAAAATGTGAGTGAAACATGCTCCTAAATTTCCACTTATTCTTTTTTAATCATTATTTCTGCATCAGTCAAAAGTGAATTAATTTATGAGAACAACTATGTTCATTTTAAATTATTCAGGCTAATCTATAGACAGGTTAGTTCAGTGAAACATGTAAATAGACAACGTTCAGAAATGGAAAATTCTTTAAACCACCTCTCTAATCCTGAGCTTACACAAATTAGGCCTACTGTATGTGATAATAATCATTAGTATCACTGTCTTTGTTTTGCAGGAAAACAATAATATGCAGCTAGAATATCCTTTCTTTTTGCATCCACTGTATAACTATGACATTACTTCACCACCCTAAGTGGGCCAAGTTTTATTGTCTTACTGTCTTTCTCTCCCTCTCTTTTTCTTCTTATCTCCTTTCAACTGTCTGTCTACTTCGTGTAAATGATAACAAAATTACTTTGACAAATGAAACCAACTGACAGTTTAATCATTTATTCATTTTACCAGAATAATAATAATATGTGGAACGAAATTTGATCTATTCTTGACAGGAGAAATGTCGGTGACAAAGTGAAGAAATATAATCACAACAACAACTTATAACGTTAGTCATACTTGTAGGCTTATTAGTACTTGCACAAGCAAACAGACTCTTATAGTTACTTATCAGTGTGTTATTTGTGCTGCTTCGTCTCAATAGTATTCATACTGAGTGATGATTGGAAGTGAGTAGAAATCTGGACCGCGTTCGGATAATCAACAATATTTTTTTAACTGGCAGCTTACTTTATGACCCAAACGATTTCATTTACTTTCATTTATTCTGTTTCTGTCTCACACCTTCTTACAGAATCACATTAAATGAAACAGCAGCGTATGAAAGATATGCTGTGTGACTTTTAAACAACCTGTGTATTTGTGTTGAGTATTCATCCTACTCAAGTGGGAGTGTTACCGTAATAAAATACGCTGACCATTCCTGAGAAATGAGACACTTTGTATTCCTTGCATGTACTTCAGAATGACACGTAGTGCTTTCTTTGTTATTATGAAGTGCGTATAATCTTTTTTCTTCTGAATAAGAAGGTTGTCTAATAGCTTTTGTTTTTCTTGATTCTTTACTTGTAGGAGGTGGGTATTATTGGTTATGAATCAAACAACAATAATCTAGTGTGTCATCTCGACTTTAACATGGCCCACTTAATGACTGATTGTGCACAACGTTACTGTTTAGTTGGTGAAACACAAAAAATCCTAGGTGGAAGTCTTTTTCCATTCAACCATGTTCATAACAAAAGCTGTAGTCATACTGAATTTCAAGATTTATCCAATGGTGTCAACAGCAACGGTTTGCAACGCATGAAAACTGCTTACAATGCTAACAACAATAATGTTATGACAGACAGTTCACAAGACAGTGGATTCTTGTCTGATTTACAACCTGCGACAAAAATTCTGAAATTAGCTGCTTTTTCTGGACCTCTGATACCAACAATCGACTATAATATACGTGTTTATGTACTAGCAGATACGAAAGATGCCTTGGAACATGTTTTGAGTGTCGAGAGAAGACTTGAAGGAAAACTGTTAGACAATCCTAAGTCTTTACTGTTCAGAGACAGTGGTGGAGGGCTATGCTTTTTTATTGAAGATATTTCCACAGGTTGGAGAAGTAGACTGCAAACGAAATCCCAGGTATGCGTATGTACTTTCCACTTTGAAGAAACATTTTGCCTTTTGATTCTGTCATTATTAATACTGTTTTCACAAAAAGAAGAAAATATTAGTTTTCTGTCTCACATCTAAGGAAAAAAACCACTAAAGTTTTATTAATTTACCTAAAGGTTCAGCTAATTAGAATATCCATAATACTGTTTGGCTTCCTATTAGAAATCGATGACAGGCATCTACATTTACGTACAGTCAAATGAAATGAGCAGCTGTCAGGGAGAAATCTCGTTGAAATTTCTCCTAAGTCAAACTCATCCAATAAATTTTCAATCTCACTGAACACAGGCGAAACGTCCTTCACTGGTATTTTATAGACAAACAAAACAGTCATTAAATGAAGCTTTAATCGTGATCATACACACGGAATGTATTTGTGTAGGCTAATCACATTCGAGCAGGATTTTCTCAGAATATTTCAACTAAAGAAGATGAATTCTCTAGATGAGACTAATCTAGATAGCTTTCATGAGTGAAACAGGAACAATGATGGTTCGAACTTCATTCTTCTTTATTGCATTTATCACGATTTTCAGTTTAGACTTCAGTAGTTCAATAATCTAGTGAACAATGTACTGTTACCAAAATTTTACCTTATCAATTAAGCGCAGAAAATGCGATTACTGGCGTTATCTAGGCTATCATGTTTGAATAATATGATTCTAATTCACGTTAAGTTGAATTTAACATTGTATGTATTTATTTATTTCCTCTGAGCATATTTAGTTATGCGAATCGTTATTATCGCTGTTAGTGATCACATTATCTGCGTCACAGCAATGAGCCTGTTGTTAATTTGAGATAGCCACGGATTGAATGACCGATAAGATCGTCAAGTGATTCACATAAGCAGACACGTAAAATGATTCTGAAGTACAACTCTATGACTGATGATTTATAGTTATGATAAAAACTACGCCTTAACTATGACTATCTTTCTGTATTCTATGAAAATCATTTGGACCTGAATAACACAAAATATTTAACACCGTATGAGACTTAGTTCTGCTTTGATATACTTTTTAGTATTTACGTGCAGGTACATATTTGGTGTACTACACTAACTACTGTAGTCAATGCTTTTTTCTCATAATGATTTGTGTAAATGTTGGTAAGTATATTCAAACTAAGTTTGCATTTAAATTCTCGTTATCAAGAGGCTTGTATGTGTGTGTGTGTGTGTGTCCGCGTGACATTGACAGGCTCACTACAAGTGTCATACTTTCAATCGATAGTTATTATCGGCTGAGAAGTCCATGCTTAGTTAGTTTCTCGGCCTTAAACTGTGATTTTAGGAACAGGTGCATCTTCATCGTACAAGGTGTATATTTTATTTGTGTATGCATCCTCCTTTTGCATCAGGATAGACAGATACAAACAGTTGCTTCTATTTACAGTGGTACTAATGACAACACAAACAATGATAATATTAGTCATCAAACATGGATTTTCTGACGAGTCATAAAGTAAATGTATTCACTGAAGTCTATATAGGACTCATATATGCATTTTCCCTAATGCATACAAAGTAGTCCTCTGATATTGCATTGAATTAAATAGAGTTACCAAGCAAGAAGAGAATATTTTGAAGATGGTTGTCACGATAACTGGATGTCAGTTGAACCACCATTAAAAGTCTTCATAAATCTGGAACACTTTATTTTTTTTCCGGCTACACCCATCGGTTGGCTATCCAGAAATCAACCTAAAAGTCCAACGGTTAACGACAAGGACAATGAAGTATGAACCAAACTTCAAGATTCCATAAATGAATTATACGTTTGACAAGAATTTTTATATTTTCATATGGTATTCTCTAGAGGTTGAAAACAGAATTCACTTTGTGATAAGATGAGCTAGTATAGTTACGCCAACTAGAAATGATTCACTAGTTAGGACATTAGACCCAGGGTATAAACGTCACGTGTTCTTATCCAAGTAGACAAGGAGAAAATAGAAAAATCTGCAATTAGAAAACAGATGGAATTCTTATATTGACTGCTTACCATACGCAAACTGATTATTGATGAACATCTATTTATGATTGACACACCTGCCTACTAAGTGGTACTTACAAAAACCTGGACTTAAACTATTCCGATATCTTCATTTCAGTGTTTTTTATCATGTGAAGTTTATTACTCAAACAGTTTGTTCTGAATCCCTATATCGCTCTTACCTCACCTTCGCACTTTTAGGAAATACCTTTCCGACATATATGGAATGGAACGCAAATGTCAACACTGCACTGTGCTTTTTCACTAGAACATTTGGATCCGCATCAGACAACAGTTTCCTGTAAAATTGTGGTTTACCAGGAGAATTCCCAACTGCAAAGTCAAGTTTTGAAAATTTCCAGCCAAAAGTTTGAGGTACGCTGATTCAATAACATGCCATAAAAAATCTTTCTGAGTGAAATGAAATGATTCTAACATCATTTTTTAAGTGTCATTAACAAAGCAGATTTATTTTAATGAGACTTATTTCTTTAAATCTGTCTTCCATTCACGCTCAAAGACAACCTTAGAGAAGAAAAAGACTGTACCACCAAGGCGTCAAAAAACGGCTTTAATTGGAGTGGACTTCTTTTTGACTGACTGTTTAGTAGACTGTCAAAGTTACAGAGTGTATATATTCGTGAACTTCCGTAGCTCATCAGCGTATGTGCGATGTTTGGCTTGTATTCAGAGCTTTATCATTTATTAATCAACCAAACGACTGGTTGCGAAACTCACTTTGTCTACTCTGTAGTGATAATCACTGCAAAAATTTGGTAGTATTTCAGTTTAGTACAGTAAGCTTCTCCAGATCATGTGGTGCGTGTCTCGGTACTTCTATTCACGAAAGTTGCATCACGGTCATCTACTTAACGTTGTCCATTTCCCTTAAGAATCCAATCTAGCTATATATACATATACATAGAGTACTTTCGAGATTTTTTTTCCATTTTAGTGATCAGTTACTTTGCATTCACACATTTTTGCTACAAGTTACAGGAAATTTAAAACTAAGTACGCACATAGATGAGACTTCAATCTTAAGAACATAATATGAATATAGCAATTTGGAGTGGACAAATTTTCTGACACAGTCATTTGCTCAGCCTCACTTTTCACTTCAAATATCAGACAGTGTGGACTATATTGAGGCTAGTGAGTACGGCATAGTGGTATCTCCGAAAGTGTCAGTATACTCGAAAATGTAGCTAATTCAACCGAATTCGCAAAAGGCACTCCCAGAATGTTGTCAGTCAACTAAGTTTATCTGAATACACGTTTCCTGAATAATATAACCTGATTATTTTCATCCATGAATCCTTCTATTTCGTTAAAAACAATTTCACAGATTTCAAATTCCTCTCAACTGAAGTCCGGAACTTCAAGAACAAGATTCTCTAGCCCTGAAGACGGCGGTTCAGAAGTCCACCACTCACCTATTTCATACAGGTAAATTTTTCATTCGCAACATTTTAAGTGAATGGAATGAAATAAATTTTTTTCTCTTCAAATTGTGATCATTACAATATGTCACTGTATTTTATTCCATGTCGTAATTATCATAAATCAAGGGTAATTGTGATTAATCTCAAAAAATATGGAGACATTTTTCGTCACTAAATCCAAATTCAATTAAAAAAAATCAAAATCAGCATGAACAATGATTAATTCCATGAATCGTGCTGGAATTCTAATTGATGGTTTTCGAGTTATTGCACCGATGCTCTATTAGTAGTAGCCATCATTGGATATTTTACGTGCAATTCTCGTAAATGTATTCATACCATACCTGGTTATTTTACCTGCCTATATTACCTTTCAGATGAGAATACTGGTATAAATTGTAATTTTCCTGAGGACTCTGAGTGAATGCCAAATAAACTTTTTGGACACTAGAGAGCGTTTATTGCAATGTACAGTATAAATCACCAAAAAGAATCAAAAGGTTCTGGGAAAAGTGTTCATGTTTCTTCTTGTTACAAGTTCAAATAAGATTCTAACTTATATATAAAGTAACTAAAATTTTTTCTAGAAAGAAGCTTTCGAAAATGAATATGATTCAATTTTATTTCATATATCACTAATTTTAATCAAGGAAGATCACAGATGACCAGTGATTAACTGAACTTCTTAAGTCGTCAACTTAAGTTTCTCATCCATGTATATGACCATTTTCTTTTGCTACCAAAATAAAAAACAATAGCTACGAAACAAAAATTAAAGGCACAAAACTGGCTAAAATCCTCCAATTTTCATTTTCTTCTTAACAAATGTATATACTTGAGTTGTTCAAATGAGGTCAGATTACCTATCACTATGGATGTTGGGGTTAGGGCAACAATTAAAGGGTATGACTGTATGTAATGGCTGTATGTCCACTGAGACAGATTAGGTAACGGCCTAAAATGTTCAACCAATTACAGTTGCTCACAATCTATTCACTACTTCTCGACTAGATTATCATCAGCTTTTAGTTTGCAATACACAGGTTATTCGAAGTAAGTTGAAGAAGAGTAAATCTTCGGTTAGTGGTAAGAACTAACCTATCTCCAGTTTTTACTGCCAAGTTGTAATAGGGTATTACCACCGATAACGAAATAAAATTTAGTTAATTTAATTTTTTTTGGCGGTCATTATGAATAGAATTGATTTATCAAACTTGAACACACACACACACTGGATACATTGCCTTTCACTTAGTAAGTTGACTTGCTTCCAGTTTACAGATACTCTCTTCCCTATGAGTCTCTTGCTTACAATAAATAGATTTCCAAAAAGAAAACTTATTTGTACCTGTTTTGGTGACGAAAGTAAGTCCAGTAATTAAATTACGACGGAACAAACTGATAATAAAATTGCTCTGCTTGTTTCAGTGGTGTTTTTAATATCTATTGAAGTGTATGGCGAATGTTTAATGACTGCGAAGTTTAGGCTTATAGGCGCAAACAAAGTAGTCATAAACGCTTCAAGACGAGACGATGAACTAAACAGTTAACCATTAATGAAGTAAACTTGCTCGGATGCCGCATACATAACCATAAATTCAGAAACTCATGTCCTAAATTATCTAGATATTTCTTATGACTGCTCTGCTGCATTCTCATCTGCATTACCTGTTTAAATTGAGAGGAGAAAAACCACTAGTTAGTGGTTCCCTTTTCTTTTCACTCACTCACTGATAGATCTACATATTGTCTGATACTGTTATGGATAGAGTTCACTTCTGTATTTTAAATGAAATGAAAAACGGGAAATAACTTTTACTGGAGAATATGAAATAGTGTAGAAAAGATAAACATGCACTAAATGGATGCGATTTTACCACTTTGCATTCATTCTATTTCGTCTGACTTGCTACGTATGGGAAATTTCGGTTTCAATGAAGAACAGTCCTAAACAAGAAAGAAATTTTGTTTAAGTCTACCTGACATTTATCTACAGAGTGTGGAAAATAGATGCATGGTTGCAAATTAAATAAGTTGAAACTTTCAGACGACAGTATCAACTCGATTTCATGCGTCAAAGTTTATCACTAACACCGGTAAAATAATTACCACGAAATATACACCACTGAAAGAATATTTTAAGTTTTTCTTGGACTCTTACGGAGACTACTTCCTTAACCGCTCTCAGAAACGGGATTTTTAGCACTGACATCAAACTTAATAGCCTAGTAAATTGTCTGAATGTATATTCGGTTTTGAAAGATTTGTTCATCAGTGTCTCAAAAGTCATCCCTCTCTAAGTTCAGCTAAAAACTTCGGTTTTCTACTGAGCTTACCCTTCCAACTAGCTTGTAAAACTACCTCATACTTGCCATGATGCGAATTCGAGGTGAAACTGTGCAAAAATGCTAATATTATCAATATATGAATATCCACTTGGTTACACTTCTTCATTCCTTTCTGTCTACAGGGTTCATCTTCACCAACAAAATATGTAGGCAATACACCTTAACTTTCTATGAGATCTGAAATGTGCTGCTTCTTGTTGCTTAATATGTTTCATTTTGTGGGTCTTTGGCAATTTGTCGATCTCACCCTCCAGCTGATTGGCCAATTTAACTGTTTTAATGAAAGCTGTCTCATAAGGGTAAATTTATATGTTTAGTCAACTTCAAGCAACTGTGAAGATGTGTAGCTTATAAATACCCAAAAAATTCGTCATTTTGATAGAGATGAAACTTAGTTCTGTTTCCTGAATCGCAGTACACATTGATCTCTACACTGTCTGATAAACTGTGAAAGTAAAGGCCAGTCTGATACTGATTTAAGTAACTTACGTGATCCGTTATGGTCAGTTACAAAACTTTCTTTGGTACATTACTACTCTAGCATGATCCAGGCTTGGCAACAGCAATGTCCTGTTTGTCGCTTAATCACCTACTTGTCCTTTACCAAGCTAATTTCCAAGATACAGAACTTTCATTTTTAACGTTACCTTAGTTGACAGCTGATAAATAAAGTATTTTGAATATTGCCTGAGCGGACTGGCTGCTCAGCCAACAGCTTCCTTTTGATGGTTAGATTATAATAACTTGTTGATCAACTTCCTCATGTAGGCTTAAATTTTTTGACAACGCCATAAACTGATACATATTCTTGAGCTTAACACCCCACCCATGATAGTCTCTGGATTCCTCGTAAGCAAGAAAAGTGTGAAACGATAGAAATATAATCAAGTCAAGTGAGTGCTTGTCTATCTTCTTTCTGTATTATTTAAAATGGGCATTCTTCATTTCTTTTGGTCCTGTAATACGTCAGAAATTTACACCTATGACCACACGCTTCACTCTGATAAATCACACCGTATTGACTAACAGTAAAGAGTACCAGTTTTATCCTAGAGTCTGAAAATTGTTGTTGCATCGCAAAACAGATATGGGGTAATAAATGTGAGTTGCAGTATTTCCTTGTAGGGTTCTCCAAAATAGATTCCCTACAACCTTCTCGCTTAATTTTTTTTGTTAATTTATTTGTACTTCCAGTTCAAAATGATCAGATTTACTATGTTTAAGGCTAACGTAGTAGAACATTGAGTCACTTTGTTTAATTAAAACAAGGCAAATGCATTTGTTCACTCAACGAGAAGTTAAATTTTACTAGACCGACAGAGCATCTAAGAATGAAACCAGCAAATTACAGTCGAAACCGGCTTCGGTCACTGTAAATTAATCAGATATTTATTTCACCCTGAGTAAATTTTTCATTAGCCTATAAAAGAATAATGGATTTATATTTAGTGCCAGCTCAGTTCATTTAATTTGTGCTGTACATCAATTATTTAACAGTCAAAAACTTGAGGTCATACTAGCAATACAATTCCTTGGTTAGGACTGTTGTTTTTGTGTTGTCTCTATTGCGGAAAATCAAAAATACAGAATGGATACATATTTATACGAATGCGTTTGTAAATGTATATCATTGTCTGTAAAGACGCTTAGATTGCATATTATATCAGCTCTACAGGAGGTGATAATAGATAACTGAGATTATTTTTCTATGTATTTCTGTTGATCATCATCGATAAATGACTGAACCGTAAAAGAAAAGCGATGTGCACACGAACAAGCTTAGCTTCGTCAGCATATTACATTACATCATGTGGAGTCAAATGACATAAGGGTTGATAGGAAGAAATACTGAAAGAATAAAAAGCATACTAAGTGTAATCAAAACATGACAGTTTCCTGTTTCTGATTTCAATGTATACTTGGATAGTCAAATGATTTGCCTAGATATTTGTGTGCGTTTCCAATATTTCACTTTGTACACAGACATATTTGTTTATGTATTACAAGGAGGCAGCATGATACATGCGTATGTGTGTATTTGTACCATTCAGTGAGTAATAAACACCTCCACGAGTTTTTATGACCGAATAAATTTTTGGACATGTGTGAATATGTGTTTGAAATACGGTTTTATTGTAGTTCATCTTGCTATATTTCATTTTCACTTTTTGTTGTTTTTGATATCAGACTACCAGCTGTTGTCACTCAAAAACTTTGTAAATTGTTGGAAGGTCGAGACAATGAGTGGCATAAACTAGCTAAACAAATGGGTATGGAAAGGTGAGTTCGTGATCTCGTGTTACTCCTTTTCACAGATATCTTCCACTAATCAAAATTCGCCATTTCTTCCTATTCCAGCGGAAACAAACTTCTAGAATATGGATTATTATAATCTTTGTTCTAGCTGTGGTTTGCACCACAGATACACTCCACTGTTAACTTGTAACAAGAATTATGATCTTTAATTAAGAAAAAGTTACAGTACGCAACTTCAGCAGCCTTGAACACGTGACAGGAATACTCATTCACCCGCTAAGTTTGAATTTCAAAGCCAGTACCAACTAAAACCATTACAAAAATTGGTTATTACTTTCAGAAATTATTCATATTTCCACCTAATTTGGACAGGATCTCGAACAAGAGAACTTTGAGGTACCTATTAAATCACAATTAAGCCTGAAAATTAGCCAATATGGAGATTGAGCGTCTATTCTTCATTTAAACAGAATTATCGTTCCGCATGTTGGTGGTAAACAAGATAAACTGAGGCTTACTGGTTTAGATCTAGACAGATTTTTTAACTCATTCAGATCCAGAGCCTGAGGCTTTTTGCCGACACATATTTTAATACGACTCTAATCTGTCAACATTTCTGAACAGAAGTAACATAAACATTCCCGTATTAAGAGTTTATGTTTGTGAGGTGCACTGTCCTTTAATATGACAAAATTTTATGTCACGAATGTTTCTAAACTTAATATATGTACCATCTGTCTTTGCATATCCATGTTGTCAAGTTAGTTGAAATTTAAAAATTGTACTATGATCATAGGTAAAGGAAGCTAGAAAGCATCAGTCAACACTTTCGAACGGTTATTGTGACATCTAACTTATCAAATGTGTACAGGGCACTGACTTGGGACACACTGGTAAAATAAAAATAATGCTGCACAGCTGTCGTACAGTAATTAGATGAACAACATGCAAACTTTCGCAACATACACCAACGCATATATGTGAGTTCAGAGGAACCATACCCTCAATTCGCACAAATGAGATGTAAAAAAGTTAAATATCCTTGAAATTGTGAACACAAAGCATCACTGTTAACCAGGCAGCTTGCAGCCTCCTTGATATAATAGAAATCATGATTTAAAACGATATAATTAAAGAAAAGATCGAATATGATGACGAGGCTCTGTCAAGCAGTTAAAATGGAAGAAAAAAATACCTCTGACCAAAGTTGTCTACCTTAATTGATTTCCATAGATTCGTAAGCCATTTTAATAACACAACATTATCACATAAAGATATAATGATACATTCTTGGTACTCTCAGAGATTTAAGGTTTGTTCTTGGATTTTTTATTATCAGGTTAGGCGACCTCATCAGCATTTACTTCATACACAGGTGGGGCATTTTTAGGTCTTGTGGCTGTTTGTGGAGGATATTTGCCCACCTTGAGAGTTATTGACTTGTGAGTAGGGGTGACCCGCTTTTCTTTCATATGACGCTGACCTTTATAAGTGTCGTTAATGTTTCGTCATGGCTGTGGATGTAATATCTTATTATTAATTTGGTCCATAGACATCCAGTCGGCCGGTCCCTTCCTAGTAGCCCGTTAACTCGGTTGATATCCACGTGTCTGCAGACTGTCATTTGATTGAAGTATCACACTTTGAGGAACTCTCTTATAGTTTTTGAGCTTGCTTGTTGTAATATTTCCAGGTTGTCCAGAGCAAAATTGTGGTTGTGTCCATCTCTATGCATCGAAATCAATTAGGATACATATCATGTCATCACTAATGCAGTAACAACACAAGAACAACAATAATTATGGCATCTAGTCATACCGTTCGTTAAAATCAGAGGAATCAAAAATCAATTCAATGCAAATGAAGAGAAAGCACTGTCTCAACAAAGTCAGACAAGACAATTTTGATACTATCAGTTTTAAAGTTTCTGAGAGTTTTCAGTTTTTATGACCTATGGAGCATAGTAAATCACCATCTGTCCTACGCAGACATTAAACTCTCATGTTCTTTTTCCATTTAGTAAATTTTCCATATCTCTGATATGCAATATGTTAGCTAAAAGTTTCAGGCTTAGATTTTATTTTTATTCACGCTCCAAGTAATAAAAAGTAATATGACAACTTTCACGGATATTTTGTAGTTTTAGTGTGAAAAAAGAGTACAGTTAAGGAGCAAAATAACTGAGTTTTACATTCAAGTACACTATATAATCCGCTGTTTGTTGATAAACTACTCCTAATGTTTAATACTCAAAACTTTCCCTTGTTTTAACAACAGAGTTTTTGACTGATCAGAATGAATTGGACGTAGCGTCACACGATAATACACAAACTGTTTGTAGCTCATGGTGAGAAGTCTAAGTCATGTTTTAGCTCAGACTGATTTATCAACATATATTCCAGTGAAGTTTCGACGACAAATGGTTGTTAACCATAATGCCGGCTCACGAAGCACATCAATATGAAAATACCACTTTGCATTTCTGTCATATATACTAATCCCACACTGTTTGTTGCAATAACACATTTCAGGTACATTTTCTATCTGAAATCTCAATCAAGTCCCACAACAGTTCTTCTAAATATGTGGGAAGCTCGACATCGTGATGAACCAACAGTGAACAACTTAAAGGCTATCTTCTTTGCTATGGATCGGATGGACTGTGCAAATATATTGGATCTAGATATGAATTCACAAAGTTGCCGTCGCTAAATATGCATAAAATAGAGTGCAAAAATGAACAATATTTACAAATATTATCACCTTAAGTATACACCGTAAAAAAGATGTGTTGATGCGAATTAGAGTATACATTTCCAAAATACATATCTTAGATTTATTACTTCAGTAAAATAGGTAATTTGATGCATTTAATTAAGTACACCGATATAACATGATGGACTGTTATTATACTTCTAACGCCACATCAACAAGTGGGTAAGAAGTAAGATATCTAGCAACTCGCATGGAGGTTCTCAATATCTAGTGTCTGAACCTCTTGACAAGAACAAGTCTTTCGATATTCCACTTAAAAACCCAGCTAACAATTTATCACAAGTTATTGCTATACTGATTCCTTATTCATTCAGTATGGTTATTACCCGATATGACAATGATGACAGACAACATTCGTCATATTATAACTGGTGAAGACATCAAATTCATCATTTTGTAACTCTCATTTTTCATTGGCTGCATACAACATACAATGGACAGTAAACCCTATTCCATGCATTTAACTATTATAGTAGATTGTGGTTTTGATGAGTCTGCCCATCATGTACATGAATGCAAGCATGAACAACGGCCTGAATGTTCGATTGACTTTGAAATTTTCGCAAAGACCTCGCTTAGTAAACATTAGCAATATTATTTCGCCACTTATCTTTGTCTGTTTGTTTATTCACCCGTCTGTAAGTGCTTGCCTGCTAATTTGATACTTATATTGTACAGTTTTTCATTTTAACTACACAAAAGTTATTATGAACATGTCAATTGTGAAAATAAACAAGGATTAGTTTGTTTCCTTTTCTTTTTCATTGAAAGGTGTTTTGCGAATTAAAACTTGAAATTGTGTTAATTATGTGTCTGTTTTTGACATGCTACTAGTAGATAGTAAAGAAGCTTACAGGATATGAAAACATATGCTAATATTAAACGGCAGTCATCTGAATTCTTTGTGCTTGAGCTGAAGGTAAACTAGGATTTGCAACCAGAGATACCCCTCGTTTATGGAAAAATATTTCGATAATTTGCAAACTACACTTCTACATTTTACACTTCGCATTAATGAGTCGTTTTTTAACTATCTGTATGTGGAGGTTACCCAAACAAAGTCTAACTGTCACGAAATAAGCAAAACAAGTAGCTGAAAATCAACCTCGTGGGTGCGTACTACTAGGGAGTTCTTAATTAGGATGAAATAGCTGTTCATTGCTTCCAACTTTTCTGCGTTTCTTCACCTGATCTCAGTCCATGAAGGAAACTATTTTCAAAATCCATAAATCCGAACTCGTAGTTCGTGTAATTAGCTCTACAATTTAATATTGGTGAATAATATGCTTCTGAATTTTAAATACTGTACTTAGATTGCTTGTACTGTGGAAATTGGAGTCAATTAATTTAAACATATCGTCAGACTCAATGAACCGTGTTCCAGAAACATTTGGCGATGAAAATAACACCATCTCAACTGTTCAGAAAATCTGAAGAATAGAAACGTTTACTTCACAGAAAAATCTGCTTTCACACCAGCGTGATCAAGTTTATTAAGTTTTTCATTCTACTCATCTTTTTGTCAAATTCAACGGTTTCAGAAGCCGTAGTTTAAATCCAAGGTTTACAAATTAATCAGTTTGTATGACTGTTAGTCTGTAAAAGTTGTTCCGTATTTGCTTTTCAACTCAAAACGTCTGAATCATTCATACAGCTTTCGTAAGCATCCTATTAGACGGAGAAAGTAAAACAGAAATGTTTTCTACCCAGTCACTTAATTATCTATAATTATAAAAAAGCTACGAACACGTGTCACGCTTCATTTCCTATTGTCTACTACTATAAACTCGTTACTGTATGCAAATAACAGTATAATCACGTTATCACTCAAACTTTAGTAAGATGAAGAAAAAAGGTCTTTCTGTTGTAACAAATCATTACATTCAGTAAAGTTGTTCGACCACGATTAAGGCTATGTATAATAATAGACTGAAGTGGAAACTGTCATACTGTCATTCAAAGTCCTTGTGTATACCTTTGATTATAATATGCATATGAGATCAAAATTTAAAATAAACTAACAGTCATGAAATGTCATTGGTGAATTTAAGGAACAAGTGAAATTCCGATGAACGATGCATAGATGAAAGTTTCCCTCTTCGCTTTAATGTTCAGTAATACGAATCTAGACATTTTCTTAGTCACTGTGTGGTTTCACTTAGTAATGTGTAAGTTATTCCAACTTAACCAGTGATGTGCAATACTACTTTGTATAGGCGGATAAATGTCCAGAAGCGTCTAAGTTTATGGCTAATGGCAGTAGATGGTTGCATGGAAAAATGGCCATGTGTGCCTAGAATTCTCAGGCCATGATAACAGACAAAAAGTTAGCTCAAGATATGGCACAGAAGTGTATCAGTTCAAGCTGAAACACTACAAAATATGCAAAGAACAGGTAGATGGGAAAAGATTGATATCAAACTAAGAAAAGTCCTTGGGTGGAGAGAAGAGATTTGAACAAAGGTTAGATAAAGTATCCAAACTTTTGAATATATGAGCCACTTTGACCAATTTTAGGCAGTTTCACCAAGAGATCCCAACCACCGATTCTTATTATCTTGAGGCCTCCAGTCATGCAATCTTTACCTTCCCACATGACTCAAACCAGTTGACAAAGACTGCACGAACTTACATCAGGTCTTGGTCTGGCCATGCTATGCCTTCTTCTACACAAATCACACTTCAGTTTACAGTGAAAGTCAAGGTAAGACGTAAAGTTTAACAGCCTCATCAAGTAACTAACTTCCTCTACCTAATCACTTTCATCTGACCACAAAATCAGTCACATGTTGATTTCACCAAATGTGAGCGATGCTTTGAAGCAACATGGGACAGAATTTCTGCAATCTCTTCAATAAAATGGGACAGTGTGAACTGCAGTGGAGTGTTCTATGCCTTTCATTAGTAACTGTATACCTTAATCGTACTTAAGACTGAGTGATTTTGCAGACACCAAACGGACCTTTTGTATCCAAGAATGCTTTTAATCAACATCAAACTTAGTTGGGCCTCAAGCAACTCCTCAGGTACGTGAAGCGACCTGCACATTCTACCACTTCATCCCTTATCCAAAAACCTGGAGTTGGCACTAGGCAGTCTCAGTGAATCATCTTACATTTGACAGGTGAGAAATGTATGCCAAGCATCCTAAAATTTCTTATCAAGGTATTCAGGAAACTACCTTCTTTAAGGATAACCCCTAGCAGAACTGTTATTTACCCCGTCCAAGTCAGCCAGGTACCTTCTTGGGAGTAGATCAATCACTGGAAAGTCGGAGGTTCCTAGGTTTACATCAACGAACACGTTCTTAACAAAGTAAAGTAGGTATACTGAAAATCCTTAATAAACACCAGTAATCGCTGTTATTTCAGCCACAAACTCTCTATAAGCCTTCACATGGCTGTATAAGTTTGAGTACAGAGTCTCGAATAACATACTTACATGCTCAGTACTCACTTCACAATCACACACTGTTATAACAACTCTCAGCCAACACAGCCTAATGTCACCCTCAAGTTCACAAATGTGGCCATTGTAAGGTATAGGCATATCTGTAATGCAAACCTTGCACAGAATAAATATCCGATCAACTCGACCTTCTCCAGGTCTGATAGCTGCTTGATTTTCTCGATTTTGTTGTTCTCAAGTTCTAGTTAGCAGCAGCATCCTTGTGGATCTTTTGATTTCAACACGTTTTTAGTCGTACTGATCTACCGATGGATGGGGCGTGAAAACTTTCCTTCTTTCTCATAAACTGGAATGATAAGCGATCAGACCCAGTGTGACGCGATCATCTAGAATTCCTGTGCACTATCTATTACTTCCGTTACTCTACTCAGTAATTTTCTGCTTCCTTTCTTGAAAACTTCCAGTGATAAACCTTTGGGTCCTGCTGCTTTGCATCACTATTTTTGAAACAGTCTTCTCTACATAAAAGGGATTTGAAGGACCAACATTCACTTCCGATTCAGGTTCTGGCTGGATACTGGACACTTGAAACCCACTTGTAGGCTATTTAAATGTTTTGCCTAAACTTTTCGCCAACAATCCTTAGATTTTATTACGAACTTATCGTTTTCTGTAGTAGTCCCAATAACCATCATCTCCCTGCCACTTTTCTTCATGAGCCTAATTAATTACCAAGTACAAATTAATGCTGATGTGATACCCTATCTATCTCTTTCTTTTGCGTCGACCCTTACCGTTCCTGGTCATTACAAGGAATTTCAGTGATTTTACGTCAAAGCTACTTCCGATCTTCAGCGTGGTTAAGGTCAGCTAGAATGAGCCTTACTGCGTATATAAGTTTGAATCAAACTGTGAAAACCTACCGGATTTTGCTAACCTTTAAGTGTGGATCACTAGGTGTCTGGCTATAAGAACTTAAAGTGTATCATTGCTCTGAATCTCATCAAACGTAAATTTCAGTTAAAGTTTTTTGATAGGCGCTAAAATGTTTACAGCACCACACCATTAACATTTTGCTGTCTGTGAATGGCTTACATCTCATTAACGTATGCAACAAAACTGCTGTACGAACAAGATCAAATTGATTTATCTTTTTTATGTTATCAGGTTTTATCTTACAATTTTTAACTTACATTAGTACTAATTAGCTATACTTATAATTCTAACGAACTGAATTTTCAAAAACAAATACATTTTTTAAAGTAAAAAGTAAAATTATTATTTTTGTCATTTAAGCCAAGTCACAAAATACCTACAGTAACATAATTAACTATTTTGAGACGATTTTATCGAAAATGCAACTATTTTCGCTGATCACTGTTGCATATGGCCTAGAGAGAAGCCAAGACTATGCTTGCCGTGTTGATAGTTAGCTGAAACATTTTGCTATGCAATCACAGTGATTACAAGTGGAAGTATTAATATAAATTAGAGGATTATTTGAGACTTATACTAAAAAATTCGCAATTATTTGTCAGTCAGTCGCATAATAAACGTCTGTAGCATTCATTAAACAAATCCGCATATACTATCTGAAAATGCAATATGAATCTAATATTTATTAGATGTCAGTGTGTCATTCCATAAAGTCCAATTCTCGTAGCACCGACTAGTCAACTACAGAGTTATTCACTAACTCATTTAACTCAAAAACGAGAGTTGAAGTCCACGTGCTATAGATAAGTATATAAAGCTTATTCATGTCAAGCATAAACTCTGTCTACCAGAAGGTTGAATATTAGAAATGCTGAAAATTTACTCTGACTAAATATATCTATCTTCAGGTGTTTGTCCATACATATTCCTTCACGCCGGTAAATGTAAGTGATATTTATGGCAGATATTACCACTCGATCCCGAGATTACCGAAATTCAGGTTTAGAGAATATGCTATTTGTGCAATTAATCAGGTTTTAATGTACGAAGAACCTCTTTTACTACGTCTCTGAATTTCAGTTGAAACAGAATGACGCCAATTGCCTTATTATCACCCTAAATGTCCTCCAGATACCTAATCCAATCGCAGCAAAAATTCATTTAGTACGATGAAATAACAAACTTTTCAGCTTTTTGTATGAAAAATGGATGGAACTATTAGGCATTATTATTACTAAATGCCTAGTCTGCCCTTTATATACATATTTCAAACAATCATACGTTTTAAAGCAATAAATATCCATGGTTCTCAGATTGTTGCAGATGAGATAATCAAGTGACAACCTTGATCCTACTGTTGTCATGGTAAACAAACTGCCCATAAATAAATAGTTGTTCTTTTCCAG